TGTGTGTGTTGCTACCGGTCCCGCCATTTATTCGTGTCATTGTAATTGTTTCTCATGCTTGTTCCGTTCTTGTCCTGCATTGTCATCCTGCCGCGTTTCTATGTACGCAGTGTTTATGGTTCAGTTCATATTCTTTAACACAAGCGTGCATAGTTTTGGAAGTATAGCTCAAACAAAAAGCTAGTCCTCTCGGTGAATGGAAAGGTTGATGTGGGTGTTTGCGGTAACAACACTTAGGCAGTACAATACACAGCAGTTTCCGAAGTGATTTTGTCGGTCAGTATGGAATTATTTAGAGTTTGATGTGACGAGTACTGCCACTAAGCAGGAGAACGATTAGGGTTCTAGTCCAAAACCTTTAGTTCTAACAAAATCCTGTCCGCAAGGCAGCTGGTTGAGCGAAGTAAAGGCCCATTTATTTAGACCATCTACCATTTTGCTGACTGAGTCGAACCACTGACCTGGAAGACCAGGAGAGTGAACTTTGTCTGACCTCTGATCTTCCAGGCATGATAACATCTCCTGGCTTAATAACTCGTTGGGTCATAGGTGTGCACAAGCCATCATACCACATCAAGCTGCAGCCTCTTCACCGTCACGAAATCCTGTTGTTGGGAACCCTCATCTGATTGGCTACCGCACCCTCCTCTCCCCCCCCCCATATGGATTACTGGTTCGAAGCCCCACTCCATGAGTAAAGCTATTCTTTGGAAGTGGTGGTCTAGAAACTCGCCGGACAACAGTTAACCGCGTTGAAAGCAACGATCCGAACAGATACGAACTTCGCACCATCCGCTTATTGTATCGTGTTGACGACCTGTATGTTTGTCTAGCGATTTTTTCTTTTGGCTGTGAAACCTTCAAAGCATTTCTGTTGTTTTCTAGCAGTTTCAATAATAGTTGTATACTTTTTATTACACACACTTATGTGATGAATAGCAGACAGGGTTAACCACATCGTCACGTGAACCTCCTTTTCACTCATGGAAATCGGTAATTTGAGGTCCAGAACATGGAGTAACGAACCACATGAGGCCTTGCTTGCCAGGTTCAGGCGTGGTATTGAACCGGACCACAGACTACCACCAAAGTTGGGTGGCGGGACTCGAATCTCGAGTCAACAGATTCAAAGCACGTCGGTGACAGCGGCTGAACCACTGCACCACCACCTTCAAACTCTATAATTAGATGATCACCCAGTGAAGTAAAATCGCTGTATGATGACTCGGACATGTGTGTTTGTCTTTCGGTTTCCTCGCTTTCATGATGCAATTGGCGACCGCACCATGTCCAAACAGTCTCCGGTTTGCAAGTGTATGCAAAAGTTAACATTGAAATCTGTTTAGGTTACTCTTGTGTTGCCCGGCGTGGACTACATTGGCTAACTACCGCCTCATATGGTTATAGCCCTTAACCACATTTTCCATGGTGAACGTTGTGCAGTATGCTTGCCCGGGGTTCCACAGCGTTCACGCCTAACTTAATCACAAAGCACGTCACACAGAAAAATGATGTTATTTCCACTGTTCGGTTGCTCATTTTCCCACTTGTCCGTTATCACTGACAATGTTTTGCGTGAAACCTGTTTCTAAGACGAAGGTAGCAACCGAAAGTGCAAAGTCTACGGTTGTCTGAACTAAATTGAACGTGAACACATTAATGTGCTTCTTGTCATCATCGTCATCTTCATTGGGGCTCTAATTAAACTCATCTTGCTTTTGTTTTTTTTGTGTGTGCAAAAGTTCATGTGCTGTTCCTGCTTATCCCTCGTTCATTGGTGTTTTGATCCCACCCACTCGGTGTAAGCTTTGTCTGGCTGACGAGTCCGATCGGAACGTTTTTATACCGTTTTGTTTCTCGTTGCCTGTGGCTACCTCTTCTGACGTGTTTCTATTTCATGACAGGTAATAATTATATTGGTATCAATGGATGTCGCATTCTCTACCAGAGGTAGTTCACAATCTTGGTGCTCATTGTATGTCGACCGGTTTTACACTAATCGCTGTGCATCTGCTACCTGATTTGTTCGGTTTATGATGATTAAGTGCATGTAAAAGTTTCCTACGGTTTGAGCAGCACTATGTGCCCGATTTACCATTTTATATGTTGTAAGAAAAATAGTGTCGTTTTTTTATTTAATGTTGCTCCTGAAAGCAACTCCCACACATACCCTTAAATTAACTGGTACAGACGCTTCATATTGTCAGTTTAAAATTGTTTAACCTACCCAAACCCAGTTGTACTTTTACGTGATACGGGTTACCGTTGCATATGTGTAAGAAATCATAAGATTTGTTTTGACAGTTGGAAAAACACAAAAATGTTTTTTTAGTTCAACTGACAAAACGCTTGTCTGTTCTATTCCCTTGCGCCTGTTCGCCGAACTTGGCAATTTGTTTGCAAACGTTTCATCACCAGCCGAGGTGACATCATCAGTGCTTGTGAAGTGACCTGTTCTGTTCTTTCAAGTTCACCTGATGTTCCCGAAATAGAAAGTCATCTGGGGTGCAATCGGAATTACGGAATTCGTAGAAGCCACGTCACGAGGTTGCCATTTAATTTTTCTCTTTGAAGACGAATCTTTTTAGTTCTTACAACCATTAACCATGCACTTTCGTACGTCGGTTTTGGTTGCTATCTTTTGGCCGCCCATTTGGATTGAAGAACAGAATTGGAATGTTGAGAGCAAATTCAAGCAGAAGATAGAATTCTTGTAGACTGAGGTTGCAAGAATAATGAGTGGATGCACGAGTGCCACTGTTTTGCGAAACTCGGCTATATCGCTCAGCGTCTCTGACCATCGGTGACCATGATCTTGAGATCCTCATCCAGGGAGTCTAACGAGACCTATGTGACCCAGTGTCCTGATTTGGGGTTTTCGTATACTCTTGCCAGGTCTGCGTTTGACCACCCTTGACGTTTTTCCAACCGCTGCCTGCTTCGGAAAACGTCGCTCGCCGTGGCAACCTATCTGGTGACATGCGGTACAATAGTGCAGTTGATTTTTAACTATGCCTAGGGATAGGTAGACCACACAAAGATGATGCCAGGCTCCAGTTAATTATTCAGAGCTCGCAACTCTGCATTTGCGACCGACAAACCGTCAGGTATTTCGGGTTCCATCCGCACTGTTTCCTCCATTCAGCGGATATGGACGTCGATCAGACACACGCCTGTACCTCTGAGCAGTAAACAAACGTCTTTGGCAACCAATGTTCATCATATGGGATAGAAGAGATGAATTCGGTAGTCACAAACGTTATGCTAATGAAATGTAACTTTTGATCGAGAACCTTTTGCAACGTTCCTGCATGAGGCGCTGCTGTGTTCTGGTTGAGCACGCAAGCACGCAGTGAACTGGGTAGTACGTTTATTTTAGTTGGGCCCCCATGTAGCCGGTGAACAAGCAGGAGCGGAAGGCACGTTTGCACGTAGGCAGGCGGGCCGACAAACGACTCAAGCGTCNTACGGTTAAGTAGACATTCAAACAGCCAATGAATCAATCAGCATGGGCAATCCAATACTTACACTCGATTGACTGGAGTCGATCGACATTGTAATGGGGCCAGTCCGCATTACGTGAGTTCGTTCGTGGGTGGTAGCAGGCAAGATCTGCCAAGCAAGGAAATCATATGTATGAAACGTTGTAGGTTGCAACAGGCGCCAGTAAGGAAGGTAACGTGTTCCACCAGAGTATACAAAAGAGAACACTTCCCTGAATTTGTTTGCTGTCCCTCGTAAGTGAACAATGCAGAGCAAAAAACCAAGATTTTCTGGTCGCTACCTCTGACATGTACAGTCTCAAAGTGTCCCACAGTTCTAACCATGCCACCCAACTTATTGATAGCCTCGACGTCGGTTGGTGTAATATCATAATTATTTTGTCAAAGCCTTTTGTTGTTCTCCAAGAGCCTGATCCGTCGTTTGCCTTAACCGAATAGATCCTTATGATCCTTTTTTCCGTTCGTTTCACTGAATGGTATAACTGTGAGAAGTAAAACTAAGTCATAGAAACAGAACGTTCATTTTGTAAGAACTTCCTACATTATCTTCATTTTCTTTAGTCGCAGCTCGTGGGGCTGGTTTGCCGCCATGGTACATTTCCCGTCGACTCCGTACGCTCTTCACTGTCCGCCTCTTTAAGTTTAACTATAAGAAAGGTAATTATATATATTCCAATGAATGCAGTTATTCTTTACTACCTTTAATTGAAATTTTATCATGGGAATAGAACGGAGCCAACGCTGATCTCTCTCAGGTTCGTTTTCCATGTGGTTGAAAGATAATCTAATGAAATTACGAACACCGACACGCGTGTGGAACCAAGGGTTCAGATGATGTTTATGGAAAATACTGAGGCTCATTTTGGTCTTCGCCTGTATAAAAATGTTAGCTTTTAATTGCGAAAGTTTATTTATGTTTCTCACAACTACACCAAGGATTCTATCGGCTATTGTAACTAAACTAACTAAACTGCTATTGCCTATCTACGGTTCAGAG